TGTTACAAGGTCTCAGGTGTGAATGGGGAGCAGGAGTGTTAAATTTGGTGTTATCGCGGCTCTCACTCTCTCATACTGGGTCACTGGAAGTTCAACATGGCACCTACATGGCAAGTAGGGAACTCTGAGGATCCAGAGACTGAAAAAACCAGAGACTGCGGCCACAGTTGTTGCTCTACATAAAGATGGGCCTACAGGCTATAAGATGACCAGATTGCCAAGGGACCAGAGACTGCGGCCAAACAGGGATGAGCTGCAGCTCGGTGGCCAAGACCGGCCACAGTACAGCTGTTTAACAGGACAGGGGATTCCACTCAGAACAGGCCTCATCCATGGTCAACCAAAAAAGTACAGATGACCAGAGACTGCACGTGCTCAGCGTCATATCCAGAGGTTGTCTTTGTGAAATAGACGTGTAAGTGCTGCCAGCATTGCTGCAGAGGTAGAGAGGGTGGGGGACCAGTCAGCCTGTCAGTGCTCAGGGGACCATACGCCCAGCACACTGCATCAAATTGGTCTTCATGGCTGTCATCCCGGAGAAGGAAGCCTCTTCTAAAGATGATGACAGGTACAAGAAAGCCCGCAAACAGTTTGCTGAAGACAATCCCAGACTAAGGACAGGGATTACTGGAACCATGTCCTGTGGTCTGATGAGACCAAGATAATGTATTTAGTCAGTGCTCAGACCATACGGTTCAGATGGTGTCAAGCGTGTGTGGCGGCAACCAGGTGAGGAGTGCAAAGACAACTGTGTCTTGCCTACAGTCAAGCATGGTGGTGGGAGTGTCATGGTCTGGGGCTGCATGAGTCCCATGTCGGCACTGGGGAGCTACAGTTTATTGAGGGACCCATGAATGCAACATGTACTGTGACATACTGAAGCAGTGCATGATCCCCTCCCCACAGGAGACTGGACCACAGGGCAGTATTCCAACATAACGACCCCAAACACACCTCCAAGATGACCATTGCCTTGCTAAAGAAGCTGAGGGTAAAGGTGATGGACTGGCCAAGCATGTCTCCAGACCTAAATCCTATTGAGCATCTGTGGGGAATCCTCAAATGGAAGGTGGAGGAGCGCAAGGTCTCTAACATCCATCAGCTCCGTGATGTCGTCATGGAGGAGTGGAAGAGGACTCCAGTGGCAACCTGTGAAGTTCTGCTGAACTCCATGCCCAAGAGGGTTAAGGCAGTGCTGTAAAAAAAATGGAGGCCACACAAAATATTGACACTTTGTGCCCAATTTGGACATTTTCACTTAGGGGTGTATTCATTTTTGTTGCCAGCGGTTTAGACATTAATGGCTGTGTGTTGAGTAATTTTGAGGGGGCAGCAAATTTACGCTGTTATACAAGATGTACACTCACTACGTCACATTGTAGTAAAGTGTAATTTCTTCAGTGTTGTTACATAAAAAGATAGAATCAAATATTTACAAAAATGTGAGGGGTGTACTCACTTCTGTGAGATACTGTATAACTAATATGTTCAAGAATTAGTACTCCTTCATCCCTCAATGAACAGTCAAAAAATATTACTATATAACAAATGATTTGATTAGTTGGAGATATTTCACTCTCAAAGTATAAAATAGTGATTGTCGCACATCTTTCCCAAATCTTTCAGAGCAGCATATGAGAGAGTGGCTCTGCCTACCTAAAACAGTAAGCACATCATGCACAATCAAAGAGCACAGTCACCTAGTGTCCCCAGTATTAGGCTACCTTCACACTGATCCACCGCAAAAACGCATAGGCATTTTTGATGCGCTTTTACCGTGCTTTCTGAGCATTTTTTAAAGGACACATGACTTAAAAACTCCTCCAAAAACGCTTCTCAGAGGCATTTTACAGGCATTTTCCATTGATTTCAATGGGAAGAGGCGTTTTTGGGGCTTTTTTTGTAACTCACCAAACATGCCTCAAAGATGCTGCAAGCAGGAGTTTTTACGCCGCACCGTAAGTGCAACGCCTCAGTGTGAAAACATACATAGATATACATTCACATACACAGTGTAGTATTTTTGTTGAGCTTTTCAGGTGCTTTTGTAACACGCGAACTTGGTTTATTTCTCCCTTTATGCTAATTTTAGGGGTCTCCTAGTATAAAATACCCTATGATTCAAGGGACAGTAGACTTCAAGGGGTTACATATCTGTATTTTTCTAGGTTACTTATGTTAGTACCATAGTTGTGTAATCTTCCCTCCCCAAATCACCTTCTCAGATTTCCCCAAGGTTACTTCGTGTCGTGGGAGCAATAACAATCACTGTGGGTGCAGAGGGTTTAGTGGAGCCCTCCCTTTTTATTTAGTACAGGTACTTATATAGCACCATCAATTTACGCAGCACTTTACATATATATGGTACATTCACATCAGTCGCTAACACTCAAGGAGAGTACAATCTAAGGTCCCAAACTCACATACATACATACATACATACATACATACATACACATACTAGGGACAATTTAGAGAGGATCCAATTAACTTGTCAGCATATCTTTGAAGTGTGGGCAGAAAGCGGAGTACCCAGAGGAAACCCATACAGGCACAGGGAGAACATGAAGACTCCAGGCAGGTAGTGCTGTGGTTGGGATTCGAACAAACAACCCTAGTGCTGCTAGGCGAAAGTACTAAACACTTAGCCACTGTGCTTCCCAAATGTGCTACACGCATATGGTCAGGCTCCACGTCCTCCCCGTGTTGCCTCAGGAAGTGTGGGGTGGGGGAGCTCTTGGTGGCCAGCTGAGCCCCTGAGGTATCCTGATGATTGGTATGGATAGGGCATGGCCCCCAGTGTCTCCAAATCATTTGGGGCAATATTCACGGCTGAAGCAGGATCATGGTTCACCTCCCTCTCAGCAAGGTTGGAGCAGAGGCATCCGGAGTCCTGGACTACTTCCAAATAGGTTACGCACGTCTGCTGAGCTTAGTGACGCACTGTGCATGGGCCAGGATGGAATGGGACCTGCTACACCACAGTCCCCCTGTAAAGACCGCAATGTGGTGGGTCTTTGAATATACCCTGGTTGCAGGTATCTTCAGACACTAGGAAGGGAGCACAAGTGGGGTGAGTGATGCAGCAGTAGGGGAACTTGGACCTTCTCAGGAGTATTACAGCAGACGTCATCTCGTCAGCAATGCTATACCATGCAGTCTGATTCTGCTCCTGTGTCCCTCAATGGATGGTCAAAAAATATATAGAAAATTGATTTGTTGGAGATATTTGACTCTCAAAGTATAAAATGGTGATGGTCGCATGTGACTTTGATATAAGAGACTGACTTGTGCTATTTAAGACCTATGCTGACATTGAAAGAGAATTTCATATCCAGGCTGAATTAGGTGATGCTTTTTAAAAGTGACTCCTGTGGAAGATTGCTCATTTCTGTGATTTTCCTGTGTGGGCAATCCAGCACAATTATTAGCTCTCCCATGCTTTCCAAGACTGCTGATGATTCTGCAAAATATCAAACCAATTATTAGTTTTGTTTAGTCTCAGAAGACCACGATTTTGACAATACCTAAAAACAGCATGTTTTTGATTTTCATCTACTTAAATACATGTTTTACTTTAAAGCAGCAAATGTGTCATACCATTTCCACTAATTACAGTCTGCAGTTGACATTTGCCTTCACCCCTGCTCCACTTGTGTTCGTGTTTCCCCTGAAGTATTGCTCATTAGTAAATTAAAGTACAAGTTGTAGCTTTTGTAAATTCTGTTCCATCCAGTTAAAAGGAAATGTATGTAACAGCGAGCACACACAAGTGCCCCCATGGGAAGTGGCTTCCCTTGGGGGCACTTGTGAGAGAGGAGGAACCAGGAGCATCAGTGAGGGGCCCAAGAAGAGGAGGTTCGGGGCCGCTCTGCAATTCAGTGAGAGCGGGTAAGTATAGAGATGTTTGTTTAAAAAAAAAAAAAATCCTTTACAATTACTGTAAACACTAGAGATTTGAGGTCATACTTTACATAGCTAAACCTGCTTTGCGTAGTCTCACTCTTTGCTGTGATTAATGCAGGGATTTTGCCATGGTTCTTGATAGTGGGGGAAAAAAACGAAAGCATGCCAGGCTAGAGTGCAAAGTGTGTTTTGTAGTCTAGCATGTGAATGTATCTGTTGCCATGTGATCAGTTCAGTAATATTTTGTAGTCTTGTAACCAAGAGGCCATTTCTAGAAAAGAGGTTTCATGATGTCTTGGTAAAACGTATTTTGTTTGACTATCGTTTAATTATTGTTAGCTAGGAGTGGTGACTGTAATTATAAAGTCCTGAAGAGTTGTTGGATTTTATGCCAGCTGGCACTTTTCTCTGTTTTGCATTCAGTGAGTTTGTCACAGAACCATGTTTGTGTTAGACAAGCCCTCACTTGCTACAGGCACCAACTAGGTTTGCAATGTAATATTTATTGCAGTGGTGAAATGAACATTCATTTGAACAGGCTTTCCTGCCACCGGAGTCTTGAAGCAGGTATATACTAGTCCATTGGTGGTACTTGTAAACTCCTTTCAAATTTAATTCACATGCCAGCCTTACCTGAGCATGAGATAGAAAGATTTTGATTTCCACTAGTGATGTCCTTTACGTTGACAGTGCTGGTAGTTCCTGTTGCAAATATCTCAGCCCTTATAACATTTTATCTGAAAGTGGTTGTTAACACTTACATAGACCCTGTGATACATCGAGATGAAACAAATCCTCCTACATAAGTTGTATCTGTTTATCTGTAGTCTTTGCTACATACATTCAAAGTGCAGAATTTATAAAGCTTGCAAAGCTGTCAAAGGGGGCAGGGAGCTAAAGTTACACTGCAGAGCTCAGTGAGGAGAGCTCTATGAGCTGATTGGATGGAAGCGACACCCCCCCTCCACACTGCTCACAGGAACAGAGCTGTCCATCTGCTGGAGGTCCCTCCCGTCACCATTTTTCTGTTGGTGTCAGTAAAACTTGTCAGAAGTGATTCATGCTGATAGTAGAGCAATGACGCAGCAGAGCCATACAAAGCAGTGTGCAGGGAGCTGACAGGGTAGAGATCTGTATTGTTTACATACAGGTCTCTTCCCTGTCAGAAATCCTTGGAGATCTATCTCCAGTTGCCGGCTGTGAATCACCGGCTGAGTCCCAGTGATTGACAGCCGAGGATGCGAATGGCGGCGCTGGTAGGGCACACGCGCCCCCTACCCGGAACTGCAAAGTCAGTATTTCTGCTATAGGGCTGCGCAGAAACGGTTAATGAGACAAGTATACACTGTAGAGGAATATGCTTTGTTCATATTTCATGTCTGAGGTTTTCATACACTTTAAACTATCAATCTCTGTAAGGGTAAGTGCACACTAGCTTTAAAAAAACGCTGCTTCTACAGGAGTTTTGGGTTTTGCCTGTAGAAGCAGCTCAATGTATCCTATGTGTCCATGTACATTAGGACATTTTAGAGGCATATTTTATGCTTGGCGTTTAGAGGCAGAAAAAAAAAAAACGTTTTCCGTTTTTGAAAGCAGTTTTCTGAGAGAAAAAAAAACGCAAATCACACCTAAACACTGGTGAGAAAACTGCTGAAAATTGGCTCTCATTTGTGGGGTTTTTTTTTTTTTTTTTTTTGTGCTAAGGGAACTGGTGTGAATTTTTAAGTCAGTGTGCTTGCACCCTAAATAGTTTTGTTTTTTTGTTTTTTTTTTCAGTGGAGAGAGCAGTTGAAGGTGTCTAGAGCTACACACGTGAGATTTGAAGTGGTTTTAAACCCAAAAAGCAAGCATTTATTATTTCACAGTTTGCCACTTCTTAGATGTGATGGCTGCATTCATTTTCTTCTGTAGGTTTTTTTTCAATCTGGCCAGTAAGTCTGTTTTTCAAAAGAACAAGCTGTCCAGCAAATGTATCAGTTACAGAGATGAGACTCAACACTAGCAGGGGTGCTTACAATGATCAGTTTTTAATAATGTAAAAAACCTTTGTCCCAAAAGAGAAAAACTGTTTGCTGTACAGCTTATAAAATGTGAGCTGGAGTTTGGCTTTGGTTTTTTTAGTGTGTTTAAATCTGCTAGTGCATCGAACACTCGCCTCCTCCCAGACTGACAATGCTGCTGTCTAAAGGTACCCCTGGAGGCATTCTAATATAGGAGATGTGTTGCTGGCCAGATCACCAGGTAAAAACAGATACCAAATGCATGATCACACCAACAGGCATTCCCATCGAAGGAATTACTCTCGATTCTGGTAACAACTCTAAATTTTGGGATTTCCCATCACTTTCTGTCTTGCTGGTAATTGGCATCAGTACAGTTTACTGAGAAACAGACAATATAAGCCCCTGTAGTAGTGGTCATTGGGGAAGCAACTGCCAGAGAATGTAGTGTGGAAGGTAGGGCAGAGAGGGAAGGCTACCAGGGTATGTAATTGGGTCTGCACATATGGCTCCATATTTTCATTCAGTCATGATCTCTTCACACCATTGTGGTTAATGTATGTGTGTTGGAAGGTACTGCAGTCAAAGGCACACTTGTTTTTTTTATTTTTTACATTTTTATTTTGATTAAACGTTCATGCAATTACAAGGGAGGTAGGGAGGTACAACCTTCTTTGTGGTAGCACGGGCCGTGACCAGTCCTCTTTATGGAGATCTGGGGTCTGTTAGACACTATATCTCCTCTGGCCTCCAAAGCATCTAATCAAACTGAGATCGGTTTGATCAGATGCTTTACAAGCCAGTAAAGTGACAAAATCCTTGTGGCTTCCGGTTTCTACTGTCACAGAAGGGGAGGAACAATGAAAGTTGGTAAAGGCAGCAACGGGAGGAGAGGGACCCACTTCTGCTGCCTGTAAATGTCATCGGATGGCTGTATAGCCACTTGGATCACTTTTACATGCAAGCCTATTGCCTGCTCTTAAAAAAACAAAACAAAAAAACAATCATGCCTGTAGCTATAGCCATGATCATGATATCACCACTCTCTTCATCCGAGGATGTATAAATACATACTATGAACAGGAGGTGGTTAAGCATGTATTAGTTATTAAAGTGAATTTTTCCCCGTTTTCACTTCGGCACACAGCTCTGCATGCTTATATGAAATCATCTTACGTTCGTTAGTTAAATATTGTTTGCTTTTACTTGCAATTACTGTTTTTCCACTTCCTGGTTTCTTTTAGGCTCTGGTGATGTAACTTTGGCCTCCCTTTACAACTGCATCCTGGGAAGTCCCTGTCACATGACCAGGAGGCAGACCCAGAGTTCCATGCAGTATTCTAGTTCAGAAGTTCTAGGAAGCAAAGGCAGCTGGATTCATCTGCCCCTTGTAAAAATGGCCACCATGACCCTAAAGAAAGAAAAGGAAAATAAAGTGAGCAAAGAATAAAAATCCTGCAATTCTCTAGAACTCTTTGTAGACTGCCATTACAAAACATTTTTAAAGGCAGCTTTGTTGTAAAATTAATGGTAAGGGAGAAGTTCCTCTTTAACCTCTTGGCGTCGGCCGCATGCAAATGTACGGCCTCCCGGCGTCTGGGCCTTGATGCCGAGGGGGCGCACATTTGTGTGCAATTAAGCAAAACATATGTGCTGAGAGTGCGCGCTCCCAGCACACATGTCCGGTACTCACGGAAAGGTTTCGATCGGGATCTTTCCCAATCATGTGATGGCGAATCATGACGGTCACGTGACCCTAAAACTCTGCCCCACCTCCCGGCTTCTAAAAACCCTTAAAGGGCCAGGAGGTGCCGGCACACAAGGGGTTAAGCAGTTGTTGCTTAGCACAGCCTTTTTCAACCAAGGATACCTTCAGGTTTCTCCAGGGGTGCCCTGACAAAATGCCTACAAACTGTCCAAAAAATGTATACAAGCCAGCAGGTGGATCAAGCCTTCCTTTTACTTGCACAAAGCCACAGGTTTTCATTGTTCACCATTACAACCTTCTAGTAGCTGGTGACATAACAACCAATGATGTCATCAGTTTATGAAAAGAACATCGGGAAACTGCACAGCATTCTTGCTTGCCCCTTCCTTGCCCCTTTCCTTCATCACTGGGGTCATATTAGCTGAGTGATGGAGAGAAACTGAGGGAGAAGAGAAACAATGGCATACTAGTCAGTACCAGTGTGCAAAAGTGTATTTGCTTTGGAAGAATAAATCACCTCTAACATTGGGTGTGCTTCATGTGCAAGTGTTGCTGCACTCTAAGAATATTTCTTTAGTTTTTTTACATTTTGTAATACAGTGGATATAAAACGTCTACACACCCCTGTTAAACTGTCAGGTTTCTGTGATGTAAAAAAATTAGACAAAAATAAATCATTTCAGAACTTTTTCCGCCTTTAATGTGACGTATAAACTGTACAACTCTGAAATCTTTTAGGTGGAGGGAAGTAATGGTTCTGAAATGATTTATCTTTGTCATTTTTTTACATCACAGAAACCTGACATTTAACAGGGGTTAAATATCCTTTTTATATCCGCTGTAGGTGTCTGAAGATTGTACATAATTTTAAAGGGTACATTGATTGAAAAAAGAAACACTGGCTTAGTAGGCATCTGATTGTGATGTACTGTATGCGACAGGGAGCGAGTTTTTTTTTTTTCTTTCTTTCTTTCTTTCTTTTTTTTTTTTTTTTTATTGTTATCAATCCTGCACAGGTTAATTTTAGCTTTAGTTGCTAGGAGAACCACTTTTACCCCACTTAATTCATAAGATGGCACATTACAGAAGCAAATGGGTTCTATTCACTTTTTCCAGTTTTCATTGCTGTAGATGGAAGGTAAAATATGACTGAGCTGGCTGCTTAATACATCTAATCAGTACATTTATGTCTCGCAAGTGTTTTTAGTTACCTATTTTTTCAAATTGCTGGCATTTGGTGCTTTTATTACAAGTGACATGGCCTAGTTTTGCTGTGTTCACTCTTGTGTGTAATGAGCAGTGTCCAAGAAGGATGCATTTCACTGTGTCATTGATACAGTTTTCTGGGAAATAAAAGGACTTGATTCTTAAAGGCCAAGTACACCCCAAAATGGTCATTCTGTTTTAGTGGATGTGGCTTAACTACACACACTCACTGGGGGGTATATTTACTCAAGCTGGTTCACTCAGAATGTTGTGTACTTCTTGGAAATTAATCAGCTTCCAGGTTTTATTGCTAATGCTTAATTGAACAAGCTCAGGTTAGAAACTGATTGGCTACCATGTACAAGTGCACCAGATTCTGTGAATGCAGTCTGCGAGAAAAGCCACTGCTGTTTTAAGTGGTCCGGCACAACCCCTGCTTAGGACCTGTTACCATCAATGTGTTGCCTTAACACCTATGCGTGTTTATGTGCAATGCATTTACCTCTTCCCGTCCGGTCCCTGTCAATAAACAGCCAGACGGGAACGCTGCCGATGCGGGTGGACGTTTCTAAACGTCCCCCCACATCCATTGCCTGTGCGTGCTCCCGGGGATCGCACGGCACCGCGATCAGTGCCCGGAGATCGCTGTTCGGGACCTCTGTGTGAGGTCCCGATTCATGTGATCACTGATTGGCCAATCGGTGATCATATGAATAGTAGTAAACTGTCACTTCCTGACATCATTGCTTACTACTAGTGAAATCTGTGAATGATTGCAGAGATCACATGGTACAAGGCTATTCACAACAGCCTTGTACCATGTGACAAGCTGTGACCAATCACAGCTCACACAGTATTTCTCAATGGCTGCAGGAATGTAGCCAGAGAGAGGGAGAAATGATTGCTTTTACAGCCTTTATGGGTGTAAAAGCAATCCGTGTAAAAAAAGAAAAAAAAAAATCTTCATCACCCCCCACAAATAGTACAGTGTCCCTACGATGACACTGTACTGCTAGGGTGACAAAATGTTAAAAATTAAAAAAAAATAAATATAAAAAATATAATCTATAAGAATTTTTCTAATTTTTTTTTACATTGTTTAAACTAATTTGGGTTTTTTTTTTTTTTTACTAAAAAGATAGATGAATACATTTTGGCCAAGCTTTATGAAGACAGATTTATTTGCCAAATTTTATAAGAAAATTTTAAAATTTTGGACTTTTTCATTTATATAGAAAAAAAAATCCCAATGGTGAATAAATGCCACCAAAATAGAGTTTTATCTGTCTCAAAATGCTAAAAATGTCATATGGGTACAGTGTTGCATGACCGCGCAATTGTCATTCAAAGTGTGATATCATTGAAAGCTGAAAATTGCCCTGGACAGGAAGGGGGTGAAAGTGTCCGGACTTGGTTGAAAATCCACTCTCTTTGAATGGACCGCAATGTATTGGTCACTGGGATCTGTCATGTTTTGCAGTGCAATGTGTATTGTTTGTTGAATGACCACCACATTGGTACACACTGCTATGTGTTTATGGTAACACACCTTAGTCTAGGTTCACACCTATGCATTTTCCCGCTTTCCAGAAACGTACAGCAGTCCATTTAACATGATTTCCTATGGAACAGGTTCACATCTCTGCGTTTTGACCTGGTGCATTTTTTGGAAAGGGTCAGGGACTTTTTGAAATGCAAAACGTTGCATTTTTGTTTCTTTAGACTTCAATGGAGACGCTGCAGAAAAGCATGTAGTGCGTTTTTTGATGAGTTTTGCATTTTCTGCCCAGCAACAAGTTGAAAAAAAAAATGCAGCAAAAACGCAAAACACACCGCAAAAAGCACTGCAGAAACGGATCAAGCGCAAACTGCATAGGTGTAAGCCTAGCATTAAAGTGTTTTACTAGCCAGCACACTGTTGTGAACATACCCGTGGTCAGCCCTGCAATCCGAAGGTGTGTCAGCCCTTTACTTCCACACAGAGCAGTGTTCCTTCTCTGCAGTTTACTGTCAGAGGTTTTTGTACACATAATATGAATAAGAATTTTTTTTCTTTTTAATATATTTTTGGCCACACATTCAGTGTGTCCAAGCCAGTGAAATAATCCGCTCCCATTGCTCTTGAGACTTCAGCCCACCAGCATTTGATCATGAATAAAATATAAGTTGTAGTAGTATATTTTGGAAATGGGTGGACACTGATCGGTTGGCCACCTGCTGGTTTCTTGTATCTACTGGGGAATTCAGAGTTTGGGCTGTATGGTTCAAGACACCTGACATATGTTTTTGGTACTAACCTGTTTTACTCCTATAGGGGGCGGCACAGTGGCTTAGTGGTTAGCACTTCCGCCTGGCAGTACTAGGGTCATTGGTTCGAATCCCAACCACGGCCCCACCTGCCTGGAGTTTGCATGTTCATCTCCCTGTGCCTGCGTAGGTTTCCTCCGAGTACTCCGGTTTCCTCCAAAGACATGCTGGTAGGTTAATTGGATCCTGTCTAAATTGTCCCTAGTATGTGTATGTATGAATGTGAATTAGGGACTTTAGATTGTACACCCCTTGAGGGTCAGGGACTGATGTGAATGTACAATATATATGTAAAGCGCTGCGGAAATTGACAGCACTAAATAAGTACCTGAAATAAATAGGGACCATTGACCGTAATAAAGCCGTCCACAGACTGTCTAATACACCAGAGTGTTGCCGCTCTAGGATGGCTTGATGGTTGTGACACTCGGTGGGTGAAGATATGGAGGCTGGCACATCATGTGAAGTATTGAGAAGAAAAAGGAGTCCCTGATAATTACTTCTATTGTTGAAATATTGGAATTCCTGAGCTACTGTTCTATGTTCTTGGTCATTCTGAAAGGGAAGGAGATTGGAATATTATGGTCTGGTTAATCTCGTTTCCATTGAAGAATGTCTATTAAGCCAATTTGCCAACCATGAGAGTGGGAGGCAACACTTGCTGGTGAGTGTACACCTGAGTGGGGGGTACCCCTTATTTTTTTCACAATTTAATTTCTGAAGTGGTGGTCATCCTTTAAGAAGATTTTGAAGAACTGTTTGATGGATAAATTAATATTATTTGGACTTCTTTGAGTCTATACACCTCACTTATTTTTTAAATATATAATTTTTTTTGTTTAACATCTTGTATTCTATTCATTTATATCACTCTCTCATATATATATATATATATATAGTCATTTCATTTTTTACACTGTCCAAATCGCATGCAGTTTCTGCACTGCTCCTGTGTGAACCCAGGCTTGTCATAGCCCGAGCTCATGCTGGAGTGGTGCGGGAAACTTCCCTGCAATCATCCCATGCTGAGTGTCAGTGGTAGGAGAGGATTCAAATCCCCGCCACTTTCTTTCCTGTCCTTGCAGCAATAACAGTTCGGGCTAGATAGCATCTGATTGGTTAGCTGCTGCATGCGATTTGGACAGAAATTGCATTCCTGTGCTAATCGCATGCTAATATTTGCAGTGCAATTTGTGTCCATTAATGCAAATCACACTGCAAAGTATTGGTTAAGGTATCTGTAGTATTTTCACAAGTACTTGTGAAAATACTTGGTATCTGCGCATCCCTAATAAAAGATCGTTAGTACTTTTCAGCTTGCTCTGCCAAGTGGTATTAGCCTCAGGACCAAGTGGTGTTAGCAATTCTTATCAATCTGTCAATCTGCCACAGTTCTAGGAACCCCAAGTATCCTGTGGATGAACCCCAGGGTACCACAAAAAATTGGTTGAGAGGCTAGTCTAAACTGTATGATACCAGAAGGCTTTCATCTGCTGTATTCGCTTTTCAATTCGTTATTCTTTAGAGGAGTTATTCCAGCAGAGTTCAAAGTCATAAAAGATCTTGAATACTATTTACTGCTTTATTGACGGATGCACATTCCCATTTTGTTGGGTTCATATGTCATTGAGTTCATAGAGTTTGTTCAGGGACAAGAGCGAAGGTCAATATCCTCATTAAAGTGAAAGCAGCTGTTTTATGTACAGCCAGCATGTCTGTATAGTGAGAGTTGCATTGCATTCAGGAAGTAAAAACTTGATTTTTAAGAGTATGTAGACCCAATATGTTCCTGATATGTGCCTGCTGTACCATGTACTTGTGTGAAAAGTATCCTGTTCTCTTTGTATTGCTTCCTTTGTGTTAAATGCATGGTGTCCTGCCAGTACCTCTGCTTTCCTATTAAAAACTGACCACACTAGGTATGAGAGCAAAGCATGGCCGGTTTTCTAGCTGTGCTGAAGGCCCAACTCGCTCTCCTCCAAAGATCAGACTTTTCCTGACACCCCCAACACAACCATTCACTGGGAAGACCTGTGTGTTGCTGTTTCTCCTCCCCTAGCTCTTTGAGCTCCTTATGCAATTCTTTAAAGCTGGGGGAAAGAAACCATGGCGATCTTGCCTATGCATCCATCCAGATTTGTATTTTCATATGCAGATTTGTTTTAGAAAAAGATAAAAATATATTTCCTATCTACCATGCCTCCTGCACCTTCAATACTTTCTATCTATGTCTGAACATTGAGGTTTTTGTGATTTAGCAGCTTCCAAAGAGAGCCTCATTTACAAGGGGTAAAAATCTGGGTGTGCTGTGACTAGGTGAGAATTATGATATGTGCTGTAACTAGAGAAGTTATTTTGTTTTGTTTTTTTTTTTTTTTGTACACAGTACTATTGTCTTTTTATGCATTCTGCTTATAGAATGTGCTTAGGGACATAATGATCTGCATAAAGTGGTATTCAAGCCAAAAGTAAAACATTGATTATATTGCAGCTTACCATTTCTTAGATGTGATGGCTACATTCAATTTCTTTTTTAGGCTTGCTTTCTTTTATTTTCATCTGTTGATCTGGTCAGTAATTCTGTTTTCAAAAGAACAAGTTCTCCAGCAGAATATATCAGAGATGAGACAAATCATTGGAAGTGGTTCTAAACCTCAAAAAACATGTTTATATTTTACCTGCTCTGTGCAATGGTTTTGCAGAGTGGCCTCGATCCTCCTCTTTTGGGGTCGCCCGCCAGCACTCCTGGGTTCTTTTGGGGTTACTTGTGCTGCCTGTGTCCATAGACCGAAACTCCCACCCCTGCTCCTTCACCACATGATTTGATTGACAGCAGCAGGAGCCCATGTCAGTGCAGCAGTAGTTCTCCATCAGTGAATAGTGCCCTATCATTGGTGTCAGAGAGAGGAATAATATCCCATCATTGGTGTCAGCAGGAGGAATTGTTCTTCATCATTGGTGTCAGCGGGAGCAACGGTGCCCCACCATTGGTGTCAGCGGGAGCAACGGTGCCCCACCATTGGTGTCAGCGGGAGCAACGGTGCCCCATCAGTGCCTCATTTTTTGTGTCGGTGAGAGGAATAATGCACCAAGGGCTACACCTACACCTCCTCCCTCCACGCCGCCAAACAAACCTACTTCGTAACCCTCATCAACACCCTCTCCTGTCCTTGCCGGCTCTTCTCCACTTTCAACTCCCTACTCTTCCCCCCCACCCAGTACCTCACTCACCGCCCACGAGATTGCCATTCACTTCCAAAATAGATCAACGCAATCTGTAAGAACATTGCCAATGCTCCACCTACCTCCCCACCTAGCCTCCCTCCCACTATAACCCCTCCAACTATCCCCTCCTCTGACCTCGCAACCGCCCTACCCCCCCACCACACTTAACATCCCGCACATTATCACCTCCCCAACACTCTGCTCCTTCAGCCTTGCCACCACTGAGGAGGTCACCAAGGTCCTCACAGAAGCCCGCCTCACCACTTGCCCCCTTGACCCTGTCCCCACACAACTCCTCCGGGCACCCTCCCCCCCTCCATCCTA